TCGATCCACAGAGCTCGACTTGCAGTTTTTTCTGGGAAATTCCTATTAGGGGAAGATTCAAGGGCCTCTCAGAACCCTGGCCACCCAGTCTTTCAAAGTCTAGGACCAAGAGAGAAGGAGGAGGGACTGAAGGAATATTTAGTAGCTGTGTAACCTCAGGAACATTACTTAACTTCTCTGTGCCTCGCTTTCCCCATCTGTAAAAATGGAGAACCTCATTGCTCCTACTTTTCAAAACTAATGTGAAGAGTAAATGAGCTCAAATGTGCACATAAAACAGCATATGGTAAATGTGGGGAAAAAATTGTGATTATTATTATTATTATCATAAACAGTCACTATATATTGAACGCTGCACTGGACAATTTCTGTAACTTCATTAAGTCTCATAATAGCCCTTGAAGAGGGTCTGAGTCCTCCCCACTTTACAAATGAAAAAACTGAGGCTCAGAAACTCAAAGTCTCCAGTCCAGGCTCCCCTCTTTTATAGTTTCAGAGCCAAGAGCCAAACCCAGGTCTGCCTGACTCTAAGGCCCATGCTTTTTCCATCATTTCATTTCACTGAGCCTCAGTTTCCTCATCTGTGAAATGGGAGAGCTCAAACATACCTTGAACATTGAATTAAAAAGAATTTATAATGCAGATATAAAATATTATTTCACTGAGCCCAAACAACAACCAAGAAGGAAGATGATATTATAGCTATGATATAAATGAAGAAAGAGGCCAGAGAAGTAAAATGTCTGGCTCAAGGTCATAGAGCAAATGTGTGGAATGAGAATTGAGTTCTGATTCCAATGTCTCAAAACTGGAAATAAAATGGTCATTTTCCTGGTCACCACCTACCCAAGAATTAGGCAAATGCAAGAAAGTGGGCCTCTGACCTAACAGGTACACTACATCCCGAAAAAGATCACCCAGAACAAGTCTGCTGCTAACCCATATGACACTTTCGTGCAAATTAGAAAAGGGGCCCTTCTTCAAGTGGATCCAGCTCTGCACTGTATGTCCAGTTTGCCAGGTGGAGTACGGGTTGGTCCAGCCTCACTTGCCTCCTCAAGGCCCCTTATGCAGTGCACAACCTGTGCAACACTCTGTAGCAGCCCTGCCTAGAACGTCCTCAAACTCCTCCTCCTCCAAGCATCCTCAGAGTCACCTGTGAGCACCCACTGCGAAGAACTCATCTTGGCCAGATGGTCAGGACAGCTTAATTTGCTCTCAGTGGGTATAAGGCAGGAAGAGGGTGGCAAGACTTCTTTGCAAAAACAGGGGCTTGGTGCTTATTTGTAAACCTGTTTTAACAGTCCCATCTACATGGGATGTCGCAACATGCCCGCAAGCTGTCCAAGGCCACTCCCCAAACCTCCAACTCCCTGGACAGCCATTCTTGGAAAAATTTGAAGTGGTGCCTCTGGCAACATTCTGACTTCCTGAGCCTTTGGCACTCATAGCAAGAGCTGAGATCCCCAGTGGCACTGGAAATGGCAGCCACTGCATTCCAGAGCTGCATCCCACTCCTTTTCATCCCTGATGACAGCATTCCTGAGCCAGAGGACATAACGTAAGAATTGTTCTTCCTGGATCTGCTCTGCAAATTGATCCCAGTTTCCCTGCAGACCAGCTCACCAGTCTCCAGGGGATAGGTGCATGAGCCCCAGCCCTCTAGACCACACACAATTTTAGAACTTCAGAGTAGTAGTGGCCTAGAAATATCACCAAGCTGGAAAACCAGGCCCAATGAGAGGCAGTCCCTCACTCAATACCACCGGGCAAATAGCAACTGCTCAAGCAGCTGAACTTCTTTCCTGATCTGTTATCTGCACTTTTGCCAAAGTTTTCAGAAACCCATATGTACAATACAACCTGCATTGATGGCTCCAGAATTTTTATGTATATGTACAATACAACCTGCATTGATGGCTCCAGAATTTTTATGTGGCTTAGAGGCTTTGAAGTGGCAATCTAATGTTGGGAATGGGGGCAGATGCTGGAGACACTTGTCTTTAAGCCACATTTGCACAGCAAGCACGTTTTTAAGTTCGACCACCAGCCTTTGTTTGGGGAGGCTATCACAGGGAGCAATTGGTGAAAATTACGGGAATTGTCTTGAAGGTATGTGTGCACAGCAAACCCACTGTGCCTGCTTTAAGTGTATGTCACAGATTAATAAAAACAGCAATGTTGGGCCGAGCCCGTGGCACACTTGGAGAGTGCGGCGCTGGGAGCGTAGCAGCGCTCCCGCCGCGGGTTCGGAGCCTATATAGGGATGACCGGTGCTCTCAGAGTGCTCACTGGCTGAGCGTGGTGCAGCCGATCTCAAAAAGGACAAAAAAAAAAAAAAAAAAAAAAAAAAAAAATGTTTTT